TGGAGGAAAGCTAAGTGGCAGTCAGGGGAAAGGCAATCTCTGCTCAGACTTGCCTGGGGAAACTCAAGTTATAGTTAGCCAACTCTCTACCCCTTTGTGGGGAATCCACTATGGGAATAAATTCCACCTTGCCCCTAAAGCAAAGAATTCATTTTATTCGGTAGCATAACTGAGTTTTCCTCCTCAAGAATTCTCTGTCTCCTCATCCTCCGTGGTCTTTGCCTGTCGTCTTGATCAGGTGAGGCCATGGCTGCCTCTGGAGGTGAGCAACTTCCTGGACATCTGTTGTTGGCTCAGGGTGTAAACTCACTGAGTTTATACTGTTAAAGTGGGAAAGTGATTTAATCTCCTCTTTGCTTTATTGAAAGAATTAAGTGGATAGAGAAAGGTGTGTGTGTGTGTGTGTGTGTAGCACTGTGCCTTGTACCTGCACATAGTAACTGTATTATTTACTTTGCTGTGATAAAACACAACCAAAGACAACTTAAGGAATAAAGAGCTTATTTGAGCTTATGGTTCCAGAGAGAGAGAGTCCGTAATGGTGGGTGAGACATGGCAACAGGCAGCCAAAGCATGGAGCCGAGAGATCACAAAACAGAGAGTGCAAACTGGAAGTGGGGTGAGCATTTGAAGCCTCCCCACCTCTCCCATCTATGGACCTAAGAAAAACAAATTCCCCTAAACTTCTTAACTTTTATCTTCTACTCTACCAGCATCCTGCTAGGTCCAGGTGTCCCCTCAAAATCTGCATCCCAAAGGCTTCAAAGGGTCTAGCCCTAGGTGGCCCAACCTCAATAACTGCTTCAATTGAGCCTGCACTTTCACAGAGCAGAGGGTCTTCCAGCTGGGGATGTTCGCCTAGTGTAGCAGTTTTGCTCCGCAGGAGGTTTCTTGGGCAAAAGTTGCTACAGTTCGGCTCTGCTCCTGGAGAGCAGAGAGTGGGAGTTGGGAGGGGGAGAGGAGTGTAACAACTTGGCTCTGCCAAGGAAAGGTTTCCCCAGGAAAGTGTTACAGCGCTGCTCGCTCTGCTTTGCTCTGCCCAGGGTCGCCTCTGCTCCATCACCCAGGGTTGCCTCTGCTCCATTGCAAAAGATCTTCACCCAAAGCTCATCGAAAGGGTTTATTGGAAGGAAGCAGCTGGACCAGTCAAGCTGAACATACACAGGGTTTATATAGGGATTCTTGGGGGCAGGAAAGTTTTTCCAGGGTAGGGATTGGTTCGATTTCAGTGCTGAGCTCAGATTGGCTAGAGCTCTGCTTGAGGATTGGTTACTTTTCTGCACAGGATTAAGGTCAGATTTGGCTCTAGTTTCAGGGCCAAAGTATGTTCCTTTCTCTGGTCCTTTTTAGACTTTTGGCTCCAATTTTAGGGTCAGGGTGCATTTCTTTCACTGACTCAGATTCCAGGGACAAAGTGTGTTCCTTTGGCATTGGTTTCAGGATCAGGGTACATTTCTTTGGTTCTGGTTGCAGGGCCAAAGTGTGTTTCTTTGGCTCTGCTCAGGGTGTGTTTCTTTGACTGGCCCCCCTTTTCCCTATAGGCTTCCTCAGTGATGGGCTTCAGGTGACAGAGTAAATTGTCTATAAGATGACTTTAGACAGGTGTGGAGCCAAGGGTTGGGGATGTAGATCCTTTGTAGAAAGCTTGCTTACTGCGCGCAGACCTGATTTGATCCCAGCACTAATCATTGATGTTCTTAATGACTTTAAAATTGCCTGGGAATACTATATCCACGGCAAGATGGGAATGTACAAGCCCTCATTATTAACTCTGGAAAGCACAGAACGGGACATGTTGTCTTCAGCAGCTCCAGGGCCTGAGGGAATAAACAGCTTTGCGAGAGCCCCATCACCCCTTCCGCTAATTATGACAAGTATTTTCCACTCCTCGGCCTTTGCCCTCCTCTGTTCAGAAGTACCTCACATTTTGATGAACGCAGAGCAGACTATCACAAGCGAGAGCCCCCCGCCTTCCTACCCTAGGGTCACATTCACCCCTCCTGTCCATGGCTGAGCAGTGCCCCCTCCCCCTTTAGTTTGACATTAATCCCCTGCCTTGGATCATCTCAGTTCCAAGTCTTCTCTCTCCTCAGAAACCCAGTGATGTATTTTTTTAGTTACTTAACCCGCTTCTCCTTGGATTCAAATGCCCTCACATCCTCCCTATAAACACACACAAAAGCTCTTTTCTTCACTGCCTTCGTTGTTTGTGGGTTCCCCCAAGTCCCCGGCACACCCATTTTAAATGTGGGTTCCCCCAAGTCCCCGGCACACCCATTTTAAAAAGTTTGAGGTAGTTCAGGGGTAGGAAAGAACAGCAAAGTGTGGACATGCTTTGCGTGGGGAAGATGCGGTGAGAACTGGGTCTAGGTCCAGGTGAATCTTTCAGAGTGGGGATTCAGGATTGGGGACTGCAACACGTGGATCCAAAGTTTGTTTCCTCGGGTGCAATTGTCTGCTATTTCCCATCAATGACTTGATGGGTCTTTGGTGAGTTTCTGAGGTAAACAAGTGCTTATGGGGCCAGTTTCAAACAGTAAAGCCACAGGAGCTCAGGCGGCGGGACGAAGCCGGGTTCGCATGGGCGGATGTTTCACCTCGCTGTGTCCAGACTGATAGTGAAGGTTGAAGTTTTGGTTCTCAGCTTCAAACTTATTCTCCGGCTTTCTCCTGCTCATAACTTCCCCCAAAGAGCAGTAGCTCTGCCTGCTGGCCTTGCTTCTCCATCCCCTGTTCCTTCCCACACGCTCAGTCTGAGTCCACACCTGAGGTAGTGTTCATAAAAGCCTTCAGCAACGTTCTCATCCTTGGCTCAAGTGGAGACTCCCTCCTCTAGTGAGCACACCTGTCCGGCCTTCTCCTCCTGAGAACCCATCCCTGTCCTGGTTTCCATGAGCTGTCTTACTCGTTCACCCTACTCGTTCTCCTCTTTGTGGATGCCTTCTCTTCTGCCCTGTGGTTAGATGTTATCATCTCTCAAGACTTGGGTTTGGGTCTTCTTTTAAATGCCCATTCTTTCTTTGGCGGATGGACTCCCTGCCATGAAAGGATTCATCCGAGTCAAATGGGAGTAGAAGAGAACAAGTTTCTGGCTATTATTATTGTTGTTATTATTGTTGTTGTTGTTTTATGTGCATCAGTGTTTTGCCTGTATTTATGTCTGTGTGAGGGTGTCAGATCTTGGAGTTACAGACAGTTGTTAGCTGCCATATGCATGCTGGGAATTGAACCTGGGTCCTCTGGAAGAAGAGTTGGTGCTCTTGACTGCTGAGTCATCTGTCCAGCCCCAAGAGAACAAGTTTACTGGGTGCATTGCAAGGGTAGTCAGCGGTGGAACTGACTGGGATGACGGGCTGTGACTGTTCCTGTGATGCGGCTGTCGTTTGGTGGCTTGGTTTGTACCATGGAAATGAGGGTGCTGGGCAATCATTGACTCTGGGTGGGAGCTGGGGTTTAGAGCAATGGTTTTGTGGTGTGAGCTCATGGTTAACTTTGATTGGCTGTGCCCAGTCACTCTGTTCCTACATTGTCTCATCTGACTCCTTTCTCCTGTGGCACTGCCGTACACTCCTGTACAATCCCACGACTTCAGCCATCACTGCCGTACACTCCCACGGCTACAGCCATCACTGCCGTACACTCCCACGGCTACAGCCATCACTGCCGTACACTCCCACGGCTTCAGCTCCCCCACCCCATCTGTGCCACCTTGTACACTTGTACAGTCTGGAGCTTGGACCCAGAGCATCTACAATCCCCTCTGTCTTCCAAAGGCTTACAGTTTGGGTTCTGGAGACTTTAGCATCAGCACTATAACAAACAGTCTCCCAAACTAGGACACAAGGATTTATTTCCCATTGGTTTTTCTTCTGTTTGTCTGTTTGTCTCCCCTTACGGAACACCAGGTACCAAAATTTCTTTTGCCTATGATTTTTCTTCTTCCTACATCCTCCAGTACTCAAGAAAAAGAGGGGTATAAAATGTGTCCCCCCACCCATATGCCTTACTGTGGAGAGATTAGTATCAGAGAAACACACTCGCCAGTGCATTGCTTCTAAAAATATGAAATGTGATTTGTGGGCTAGGAGCCTGGCTCCTTGGAATGTTGAGTCACAATTTGGGCTCCCTGGCTTCTGAGTGTGTGGGAAGCCCCGCTGGTGTCACTTGGGCTCTTTGGCTTTTGATGTGTATGAGAAGCCCTGTAGGTATCAGAATCCTTGACTGCCCTCTGTGGGTTTTGTTATGACAGCTTGACACCTTTATGACTGTGTTGTCAAGCTTGGGAAGGGAAGATGCCACCAGAGGATGCTGATTTCCCAGATGCCACCTCCAGAGATCCGGGCATCGCAAGGAGTCTCATTTGTACAAACCTCCTGGGTGATTCTGAGGACCACGTGTGACAAGTACTCGTCAAATGCCTCTATTCTCCAGTGAAGGAGCTGGTCTAGAATAGTAAATTGGCCTCTGGAAACTTGTTTGTTTCTAGATTTATTTATTTTATGTGTCTGAGTATTTTAACCCTGCATGCTTGTGTGCCACATGTAGGCTGGGTCAGAATCAGCTCCTCTGGCCCTAGAGTTACAGATGGTTGGGAGCCATCTTGTGGGTTCTGGGAACAGAGCCTGGGTCCCCTGCAAGAACAACCGGCATTTTAAACAGCTGAGTCAGTTCCCGGCCCCCTCGGGAAACTTATTTTGGCTACAGTAAGAAGAATATCTCTAAGCCTGGATCTCAGGCCAATAGGATCCAGAGATGGGATTTTTCTTTTCTTTTTTTATGTGGAAAGTTTATTGGGAGAAGGTCGGGGAGTAAGGAACGAAAAGAGAGAAGAGAGAGAGATAGAGACAGAGCAAGACACACAGCTGCCTCCTCAGAGACATGGCAGAGAAAAGAGCTGAGATGGAATTTTTCAATGAGGAAACGTATTGAGAAATACTTGTCTGTACTCATCCTTTCCCCCCATAGCTCTTGATTTCATGTCTTTTGTTTGTTTTCTTAAGGCTTCCTGAAAAATCACATTTAGTCTCTGTGGAAAACATGAAAGCACCCTCTACGCACCCTGGGACGGGTGAGTTTGCGCACCTTTTTGGGTGCCTCACGAAGACCAGTCTGTGGCGGCATGAGAACTCCAGGGACCATTCAGAGGAAGTGTGCAAAACCAAATGCTTACAGTGCCCAGAGAGCTGTGGAAATCACCCAACTGCAAAAGACGGTGAGGACTGCAGGGACTTCCCACCCGAGTGGCTTGAGGGCTCTGTCCAGTCATGCATGCCTATGTGTGCTTGGTGTCCAGTCTGTCATCAGCGAGTATGATGAGTACGTGTGGGGATGCGTAAGGGAAAGGGACCTGACGGTGGGGAGCACACCACCCTCAGTGGACTCCCAAGATTGGTGGATACCAACGTCCAGAAGGAGACTTGAAGAAGGACATGAGATCGGACAAGAAATCCCAGGCTTGAAGTAGTTGCCAAGAGATGAAATGGAGTAAAGGTAGAGAGGAAGAGGGTTAGGCAGGAAGCAGGCTGTGGGTTGGCCATGTGGGGGACAAGAAGCCTGGGGAGTGAGTAACAAAGCCAGTGAGAAGAGTGGCATTGCATAGGCCAGGGGGCAAAGATATGCCCTGGGGCGGGGCAGGAGGAAGTGCCCTTCTGAGTGTAGAAGTTTAGGGAATGAGGGGAACTCCCAAGCAACCCAAACCTAGAGAGAGTCGCCAGGGTGTAGACTGTGGCCATCTGGAAGAACTTAATTGGATTCGAACTTGAACCTAAAAAGTACCTTGACTCTGTTGCATGTAGTAATACTCATTCTGAAGTTCATCTACAGCTTGGGGTTGGGTCCTGAGACCACGGATATACTAGATAGCAGAATGCAAAGGCGTGAAGGCCCCTAGGGGCTAACAGCCTAAAGACCTCAGGTAGACAGACTCTCTGGACAGGAGAGCTGGCGTCACTGGTGGCACCTGTGACTACTCAGCACATCTGAGTGTTGTCTCCCACACTGGCACGGCAAGGCAACTGACCTGGAGGTGGAATCTTCCATCCCACGACACACACAAATCATGTGGACATAGTCTCTGCCGGTGTTCTATAAAGGGACAATTCTGTCCTTGGTGATGCCTAGCTGTTTCTTTTGTTCCCAGTTGCCTCCATCAGTCTTGAGTTGCCCCCATCTCTCATTGGTGGACCGGGCCAGGTCTTGTCAGTAACAAAGGGCCATGCCTCTTCCCAGTCCATCCCAGGCTCTCCAGGGTGAGCAGGGGCTGGCTGGCTGGCACTTCAGTCACTGTGTCAGGTTCTCGTCTGTCTTGTACATGGTGTCAATAAATGTAAAGGTCCCTGGTTCAAAGTGGCTTTTGGCACACCATCATGCACAGGTTTCAGATTTAGGGCCCAAGGGGGACACAGAGGCAGATTGTCCTCTTGGTTAAGAGGTTTATTAGAAGAGTTTCTGGTGCCATGGGCGTACAGACTTACAGACAGACAGCATGCTTGGGGCTCCTATGAGTGTTCAGGTCCAAAGGGCAGAATCGGGGACCTCTTCTTCCAGGTCTCATGTGTTCAGGCTGCCTGATTCCTTGCCTGGGCAGAGGGGAAACGGAGGAGGGCTTGGCATCCATAAGCCAAAGGCCAGCTCTCAACTTTGCATAGGGACAGAAGAAGAGAAGTCACAGGCAACTTTGCTGACAGGGACCAGGGGATAACCAACTTCCGGTCACCACAGAGGAAGCCTCATCCACAGAGTGCTGAGTGTTCCTTCTCTGGCATGTAGGCTCTGACTCTCATCTGTGACTGTGTCATGCTGTTGTTCCTGTCTGTTTGTCCATCCATGGTGTTACTAACATACCTTTTAATCCCCAGTAATGGCTCCATGTCCTTCTGAACCTCCCGCCCCATCCAACACTTAACTCAGACATTCATGCAGCCGACTTCCTCCTTGGCAGCTCTTCGGCCCCGTCTTTAGTTGCGCTTTTGGAAGCTGCCCTTTGTTCGAGCCGGCGTTCACCTGAATTATGAGACTCCCTATCTGAGCTGGTGTTTGTCCTCAGCAGCCACACCTGGTGGTATTGTCCTTAACGATCCCTGGATGGCCACTGCGGGCCACCTGCCCATGGGGTGCTTCCTGAAAAACCTGCTTGCGAGGACTTCTTTCTCCACTAGGGGCACAACGCCTGAGCTCACCTCTCCCCTCTGCCTCTTTGATTCTTGCAAAGGGGCAGGCAGCCTGGCTTCTCCTGAGTTACCGGAGGCAGCCAGGGTCTGGAGGGCAAAGAAAGGACTTGGCAACTGAGCACAGAACAGGAAATGTCAGGGAGAGACAGATAAGGAATGGGAGCTGTTTTATTTGCTGTCTCAGGGATGATGGGAACAGGAAGGAGTTACAAGGAGGGGAAGGAACCTCAGTCCTGTTCCCCGGCACTGAAATGGGACACGTGACCAGAGTGATTTGTGTGAAGTGCCCCCTGCAAGAGGAGCCTGCTGGCTGATGATAACAAACTCTGGTTGGGAAATTTCTGGTCAGAAAGAAAAGGCAGAGGAAAACAAACCCTATTTGTATTTGACACAGAATCCCTGACTTAGCAGAGAGGAAATGACTTCTATGCATGGCTGGCTGGGGTTTCCTGAACAGACACAGGTAGGCATGGGACTGACACAGTTCACACAGGTACCACTTTTTTGTTCCGTTCTCATCAGTTCCTTAGCATCCAGGGTTAACTGGAGCAGAGGTGCCTAAGCCTTGCAGACAAGACTAGGGCCGGCCCTGTTGTCCCAAGGAGTAGGTAAGTGGGCAGAGTTTCCTAAGAGACTGCCTTAGAAAAACTTCAGGACAGTCCTCAGAGGAAGAGGGCCTTGGATCTTCCCCCTGTGATAAAGCCAAGAGGGCAAAGCCACAGAAACTTCTAGAACTGATGTTTGTGTCTTCTAGCACAGGCTCAGGTTTCTGGGGGAGGAGTCTAGAGCCTGAGTGGTCTATGTTCCCGACTTTCCTCATCTTCTGTTGCCCCCAGAAGGCTGGAGTTGTGAACCTTAACTAGGAGACCTCTTGTTATAGTACCCTCACTATCATGAAAGCGCCCCTTCCACCAATTAAAACAAGACTCCCCAGGCCACACACTCACAGCCATAGTGCTTAAATCAAAAAGAACATGACTAGTGACATCTTGAATCCATCTGTATTTGCTCAAGCATGAATCATCCCAAACTAAAGAATATAAATTTGATCTCAAGATCCAGGGAAGAACTTGGTCCCCTAAATCCTATCTTGGCATCTGGGAACTGTTGGGCCATCCCTACCTACAGGACCCTTGTCTATCAGAGTAGTTCCTGCTTCTCCAGGTTCTGAGCCAGGGCCATGGTGACAGATACCACCAGCAAAGGGTGGCCATGGTCAATTTGAAGGTCAGGAAATGGAGAGTTTGGAGGCTTCGTGCTTCCCAATTTGCTTACAATTTGTGTTCCTTAAATATTAGTTGGTTGAACTTTGAAGCAACCAAAAAGATCATGTGTCAGCATATCTCACCAAACTGATACTTGGATAAGGAAATTTGAAAGCAAAGCATTTAGGACCGAATTCCGTTAAACCAAGGTTAAAACGCCCAAGTCGTCATGTTCTCATAGCAGCTGCAGCTTCTGCACCTCGTATGGGCCAGTGGTAGTCTGTACCTGTAGTCCTAGCTACTAGGAGGCTGAGGCAGGAAGATGACTTGAGCCCAGGAGTGTGAGACCAGGCTGGACAACAGAGTGAGACCACGTCTAATAACAGGTTTCAGTTTCAAAGACAGGGTAGGGCACGCCTGCACTCATACTGGGGAGGCCGAGGCAGAAGGATTTCAAGTTTGAGGCCAGCCTGGGCTACAGAGTGAGAGCCTGTCTCAAAAAACCAGAACTCCCTGAAGAACTGAGATTCTGAGCTCTTCTGAAAGACACTGCTGACGCTTGTCTCCTCGGTCCTTCTCTCTCTGGGTAATCAGAGGGTCTCGGTCTGCGACCTCACCAGAATTGTGGAGACCTGAGGTGGCAGGGATGCAAGGAAACTGACTGGAAGTGTGTACCGGGTGGCTTTGTGTGTCGACTTGACACAAGCTAGAGTCATTTGAGCAAGGAGCCTCAGCTGAGGAGATGCCTCCCTGAGGTGCAGCTGTAAGGCTTTTTCTCCACTAGTGATCAATGTGTTCCTCCCCAGCTTGCTTTTCCGTCATGATAGTTCTTATCTTTTCTTTCTTTCTTTCTTTCTTTCTTTCTTTCTTTCTTTCTTTCTTTCTTTCTTTCTTTCTTTCTTCCTTCCTTCCTTCCTTCCTTCCTTCCTTCCTTCCTTCCTTTCTTTTCTTTCTTGGTTTTTCGAGACAGGGTTTCTCTGTGGCTTTGGAGTTGCAGCAATAGAAACAACAAGGTGACTGAGACTTACATGTTCACACACACGTTTATGTATATGTAAAAGAACAAAATAGTTTAATTCTTTTTCCATGGCCACAAGCTTTCTTTAGTAAAGTTATACCTGTATAACTCCCAGGTGACAGCATATCATTAATGCTTCAGGACAGGTCACAATTTTGTACTAACAATCAACTTAACCACAGCTTGAAATGTAGTTTGTCCCAGCTGCAAAAGCCACAAGACACCAATCATGCGTCTTACCCCCAATACAGACGTTTAGAAAACACACACACACATATGTATTTAGCACAATAAACGCGCTCATTATGCACTCTAACATAGAGCACAGGAATACACGCTATGGAGTGCAGCCCTCATGTCTCCACAGGCAAGAGCTAGAGGGTTAAATAGAAGCCCGTGGTGTGACGGCGGAAAGTTCAGAGCGTGCCACCCTGCACGTGACTTATCCTACTGCCGAGAACTGTTGCCTCTGTCCAGTGAGTGGCAGGTACAGTCTCAGAAACAGTGTTATTTCCAGAGAGCAGAGATGCCACTCTGGATCTGAGTCATTACCTAGAAATCATAACAAGTCAGCTCCATAGAAGGTGGGGATTGGCTTTGGGGGTCAGGTGTAACAGTGCCCCTCAGACACTTGCACACCCACACCCTTGTGCCCAGGGAAAGTGCACTTCCGATGGCAGATATAAAAATAGATTGGCACGCTCTTGACACAGGGAGAGGGGACTTTAAGCAGCTCTCCCCAATGCTGCACATCCAGTTCCCCCTGTTCCAGTGCCTCACCCTCCCAGTCAGACCCAGTCTGCAGTAAAGGCCCTGAGAAGCTTCAGACCTCACATGTGCCTGGCAGGGAGGGAGAGCGGGCCTCCATCATCCCCAGGACATGCCGCCTCTCGTGGAGCCTGAGCAATGTCTCCTAGCAAGTCCCAGGTACAGCTTCTCCATGAAAATGAAGCAACAAGGAGACTCAGCTTGGCGGGCCCAGGTCCATTCTCTGGTAGTAAGTAAGGCCCCGTGCACTCGGAGGAAGCCGTCCTTGGCCCTCCTGGGGCCTGTGCTAGGAGCTCTGGATGAGGCGTCTGTAGTGGGGCATGACTTCATGCTCTGGCAGATGAAGGGCAAATTCCAAGGCCACCAACACTGGAAATTCAAAGGCAATCAGCTCTCTCCTGTTCAATCGGAACTTCTCTTCCAGTTTCTGCAAAGGCAACAGAACCGTTTTAGTGCTGCAGTTAACAACTTGGGCTTTGTTGGTTTTGATTTTTCCAGGTGCTACTTTTCTACCATCAAGCGAGTGTTTATGGGGATGCATCTGCTCTCCCTTGCTGTAACAGAACACCAGAAACTGGTGACTCTAAAAGAAGAGAGGTTCTGGAGGCCGGGCAGCTGCATCCGGTAAAGGTGTTGCTCTGCTCCATCTCAGGGAGAAAAGCAAAGGGGGCAGGCCGGGTCTATGGCATGCAGAAATCAGGAAGGACAGCCACATGCTGCACCCCTCACACACTACTCTAGTTTCAGGACACATCAGCTGTCAAAAGAAGGCACAAGTCCTCCTCAGTGTCCCCTCCCGACACCACTGCAATGGAAATCAAATTTCAGTGTGAGAAAAATATGCCTGAATCATCCATCTGTCCCTTACAGGATGGACTGCTTCCTTCCTTAGTCTGGTGGTGCAGACAGCGAGCCTTCCCCGACGGCCAGCGGTCTGTCTGGAGATGCAGGACAATTCCATTTAATACTCTAAAGACTCTTAAAGCTGATGTTGTATTCATGCTCATTTACAGGTGATTACAACTCAAGAGGTCAAAATTGTTCATCTACAGTCAGTGGATAGGAAACTGCTGTCGTGAGTGCAACCTAACTGGGATTTATTTATTTATTTGTTTATTTTCCAAGACAGGGTTTTTCTGTGTAGCCCTGGCTGTCTTTGAACTCACTCTGTAGACCAGGCTGGCCTCGAACTCATAGAGATCCTCCTGCTTCTGCCTCCCATGTGCCACCCTCATGGGGCTCTAACTGGGATTCCTTGTACCTGTTATAACTGAGTCAGGCTTAGACGTCAGAGCACACTGGCCAGCGAGCCTCACAGGCCAGCTCTGTGTGGCACGAGATGAGGACTTGTGACTCAGCCTTTTCCTTTCACTTGTGGGGACCCACGTCTCTGTGAGGCTGTCCCACATCTGCACAGCTGAGTGGCCAGTGGCTCCTCACCTGTCCATTAACAATGCAGAGTTCCAGGATTGGCAACAGAAGAGAAACAGTGGGGAACAGGAAGCCCCCCTTTTGGCTAGAGCACTCAGTCTTGGCTTAAGCTCAGCTTTTGGCTAATGAGCTCTCACTAGCAGCAGCGGCTAACAGACCTGAGGTAAGACTGGGGCGGGATTGCATGTGAGGGTGTGACTCTCAGATCATAACTGCTGGTCTGGGTTGACACATCAGCTTCAACTGTGGGGCACAGCACTAAACTCTGATGAAATGTGTATGGCATAAATTACTTAGAACTGTACTAGTCTTCTGAGGATGCACTAGTTATGCACATATATGTATGTTTCCCCCTTTATTTGGGGACCCCCAAGTAGATCCCCAAACCACAGTACCATATCCTATAGATTCGTAATAAAATAGTGTATCTATACTTATCATGCCCATTTTACAAGATCAACATCAACTAAAACAGAGTAGCTATACTGTAGCAAAAGTTACACAACGTGTTTTCTCTGTTGCTTATTCTGGGCTTAGCCGGACAATGCTTGCATGATGAGATGAAGGAATGTGATGCAGGCTGTTACAGCGGGTTAATCAGACATACACACTATGATGCTTGGGCAAACGAGGTGACTCGGTGCTGGTGTACACAGGCGGCTACACAGGGACAGTTCACACCTGGCATGGGACAGGGAGAGCTTTCATCACGCTACTTAGACGACGCACAACCTAAAACTTACAAATGGCGCACTTCAGGACTTTTCTATGCAGTATTTGGTGCTGTGGTTGACTTGGGTACCCGAAACCAGGAAGGGCCCGTGGATAAGGGGGACAACTGTATAAGCCCATTGATGCTCGACTTGGATTTGGCACTCGATAGTCACTTCCATGCTCATGTATCTGCTGCACACAGGGCCCCGTACCATTTCTGAAAATCAGTAAACTGTGACCTAAATATCTTTTTTCCTGATAGTATTTTTTTAAATTTAAATTAGAAACAAGCTTGCTTCACATGTCAATCCCAGCTCCCTCTCCCTCCCCTCTTCCCCTGCCCCCCACACAATCACCATTTTGCTCCCCAGGGAGGGTTAGGCCTCCATGGGGGATCTCCAAAGTCTGTCATATCATCCAGGGCAGGGCCTAGGCCCTCCCCTGTTGGCTTTACGGACGCTGTAACGATACGCGACACACAATTACTGAAAATAAGGCTAAGTATTTTATATAGAAAATTACTCACAAGATACCAAACCCCGAGAAGCCCAGCAGATCTCAGCTAGCGACTGGACCGGAAGCCGAACTCCAGGAAAAAAAGAGAGCGAGACTTCCTGTGCGCTGTCTTTTATGCCTTCCCCAGTAACGCCCCTAGCCATGCCCAAAAGTGGGCTTGGCTAGTGACGTAGTTCTGCCTACATACGTATACGTCTTTATGTCCAGCCGTATACGTCTTTAGTCCTGCCTAAAGTGGGTGTGGTTAGCGGTGTGGTAAACCGCCCTTTTATTACCTCATCTGTATGCGCCTCTAGTAAGTCACATGTTTCATGGCGGCATAGACTTCCTCCTACACTCCCCCATGTGTCCAGGCTGAGAGAGCATCCCTCCATGTGGAACGGGGCTCCCAAAGTCCATTCGTATGCCAGGGAAAAATACTGATTTACTACCCGAGGTGCCATAGATTGCCCAGGCCTCACTGATACCCAAATTTAGGGGGGTCTGGATCAGTCCCACACTGGCCTCTCAACCATAAGTTTTGGGTTCGTGAGCTCCCTCTTGTTCAGATCAGCTGTTTCTGTGGGTTTCATCAGCCTGGTCTTGACCCCTTTGCTCATCACTCCTCCCCCTCTGCAACTGGGTTCCAGTTCAGTTCAGTGTTTATCTGTGGGTGTCTGCCTCTGCTTCCATCAGCCACTGGATGAAGGCTCTAGGATGGCATATAAGGTAGTCATCAATCTTATTATCAGGGAAGGGCATTTAAGGTAGTCTCTCCACTATTAGATTGCCAGTTGATGTCATCCTTGTAGATCTCTGGAAATCTCACTAGTGCCAGATCTCTCCTCAAACCTATAATGACTCCCTCTATTATGGTAACTCTCATCCTGCTTTCCTCTATTCTTCCCCTGACTCAACCTTCCTGCTCTCCCATTACCTCCTCTCCCCTCCTCTTCTCCCCCTCTCTTTGTTCCAGATTCCTCTCCCCTCCCCTCATGCTCCCAATCTTCTTAGGAGATCCTGTCCCATTCCCCTTCTTCAGGGTACCATGCCTATCTCTCTTAGGGTCCTCCCTATTTCCTAGACTCTCTGGTGGTGGGATTGTAGGCTAGCACTTCCCTGCTCTATGTCTAAAATTCATGTATGAGTGAGTACACCTCACTCAGAATGGTTTCTTCTAGTGCCATCCATTTGCCTGCAAATTTCAAGATTCCATTTTTTTTCTGCTGAGTAGAATATTCCACTGTGTAAATATACCACATTTTCTCTATCCACTCTTCAGTTGAGGGGCATCTAGGTTGCTTCCAGGTTCTGGCTATTACAAATAATGCTACTATGAACATAGTGGAACAGATGTCCTTGTATGAATGTGCATCTTTTGGATATGTGCCTAAGAGTGGAATTGCTGGATCTGGTGGTAGACTGATTCCCATTTTCCTGAGGAATCTCCATACTGATTTCCAAAGTGGCTGTATGGGTTGGCACTCCCACCAGCAATGGAGGGGTGTTCCCCTTTCTCCACATCCTCTCCAGCATGAACTGTCATTGGTGTTTTTGATTTTAGCCATTCTGACAGGAGTAAGATGGTATCTCAGAGTTGTTTTGATTTGAATTTCCCAGATGACTAAGGATGTTGAGCACTTTTTAAAGTTTCTATCAGCCATTTTAGACTCCTCTATTTAGTTCTGTACCCCACTTTTTAATTAGATCCTTTGGTTTTCTTGTTGACTATGGCTTTTTGCTTCTCAGTTTAAGGAGATCCCATTTATTAATTCTCGATCTCAGTGTCTGTGTTACTGGTGTTATGTTCAGGAAGTGGTCTCCTGTTCCAAATAGTTCAAGGGTACTTCCCACTTTCTCTTCTAAGAGGTTCAGTGTGGCTGGATTGATGTTGAGGTCTTTGATCCATTTGGACTTAAGTTTTGTGCATGGCAATAGACATGGATCTATCTGCAGTCTTCTACATGCCAGCATCCAATTATGCCACACCATTTGTTGAAGATACTTTCTTTTTTCCATTGTATAATTTTAGCTTCTTCATCATAAATCACGTGTTTGTAGGTGTGTGGGTTAATACCAGGGTATTCAATTCGATGCCATTGGTCTACCTGTCTGTTTTTGTGACAATACCAAGCTGTTTTCAGGACTATAGCTCTATAATAGAGCTTGAAGTCAGGGATGGTGATGCCTCAGGAAGTTCCTTTATTGTACAGGGTTGTTTTGTCTATCCTGGGTCTTTTGTTTTTCCATATGAAGTTGATACTTGTTCTTTCAAGGTCTGTGAAGAATTGTGCCAGTATTTTGATGGGGATTGCATTGAGTCTGTAGATTGCTTTTGGCAAGATTACCATTTTTACTATGTTGATCCTACCTATCTAAGAGCATGGGAGATCTTTCCATTTTCTGGTATCTTCTTTAATTTCTTTCTTTAAAGACTCAAAGTTGCTATACAAGTCTTTCACTTGTTTGATTAGCATTACCCCAAGATATTTTATGTTGTTTGTGGCTATTGTAAATGGTGATGTATCTCTTATTTCTTTATCAGCCCTTTTATCGTCTGTATATAGTAGGGCTACTGATATTTTTTTTGAGTTAATCTTGTATCCTGCCACTTTGCTGAAGGTGTTTATCAGCTGTAGGAGTTCCTGTGTAGAGTTTTTAGGGTCATTTATGTAAACTATCATATCATCTGTTAATAGTTCAAGTTTGACTTCTTCCTTTCTAATTTATATCCCCCCCCCCCCCCGTCTCCTTTTGTTGTCTTATTGCTCTACTAGAACTTCAAGTACAATATTGAAGAGAGATAGAGAGAGTGGACAGCCTTGTCTTGTTCCTGATTTTAGAGGAATAACATTGAGTTTGTCTCCATTTAGTTTGATGTTGGCTGTTTGTTTACTGTATATTGCTTTTATTAGGTTCAGGTATGTTCCTGTTATCCCTGGTCTCTCTAGGACCTTCATCATGAAAGGGGTGTTAGATTTTGTCAAAGGCTTTTTCAGCATTTAGTGAGATGATCATGTGGTTTTTCTTTTGCAGGTTGTTTATATGGAGGATTACATTGACAGATTTTCATATGTTGAACCATCCCTGCATGGTGGATGATTTTTCTGATGTGTTCTTGGATTCTATTTGCCAGTATTTTATTGAGTATTTTTGCATCAATGTTCTTGAGTGATATTGGTCTGTAGTTCTCTTAGTTGTCTTTGTGTGATTTGGGTACCAAGGTCATTGTAGCCTCATAAAAAGAGTTTAGCAATGAACCTTCTGCTTCTATTGTGTGGAACACTTTGAGGAGTATTGTTATTAGCTCTATTTTGAATTTCTGGTAGAATTCTGCACTGAAGCCATCTGGCCCTGTGCTTTTTTTTTTTTGTTCGTTTGTTTGTTTGGGAGGCTTTTAATGACTGCTTCTATTTCATTAGGGGTTATAGATCTATTTAAATTGCTTATCTGTTCTTGATTTTCTTGATTTAATTTTGGTAAGTAATATCTATCCAGAAAATTGTACATTTCCTTTAAATTTTCGAATTTTGTGGAGTACAGATTTTCAAAGTATGGCCTGAAGATTTTCTGAAGTTCCTCAGTGTCCATTGTTATGTCTCCCTTTTCATTTCTGATTTTGTTAATTTGCATGTTCTTTCTACCTTTTGGTTAGTCTGGACAGAAGTTTGTCTATCTTGTTGATTTTCTCAAAGAACCAACTCTTTGTTACATTGATATTTTGTATTGTTTTCTTTGTTTTGAACTTTATTGATTTCATCCCTCAGTTTAATTACTTCCTGGGGGTGATTTTGATTCTTTTTGTTCTAGAGCTTTCAGTTGTGCTGTTAATTCTCTAGTGTGACTATTCTCCAGTTTCTTCATGTGAGCACTTAGTGCTATGAACTTTCCTCTTAGTACTGCTTTCAAAGTGTCACATAAGTTTGGGTATGTTGTGTCTTCATTCTCATTGAATTCTAGGATGGATTCTGTCTTTGTATCCATTCTGTTAGTCTGTGCCATTTTGTAGGCAAATTAAGACCATTAATATTGAGGAAAATTAAGGACCATTGAGTGTTAATTCTTGTTTGTTTCTGGTGTTGTTATTGTTTTTGGATTTATCCTGCTTTTTCTTTTGGCTTTTGGTAAAGTGGGATTATCTATTGCCTATGATTTTGTGAATGTAGTTAACTTCCTTAGGTCAGAGTTTTCCTTCCAGTACTTTCTGTATGGCTAGGTTAGTGGATATGTATTGTTTAAATCTGGTTTTGTCATGGAATATCTTGTTTTCTCCATCTATAGTGATTGAAAGCTTTCCTTGGTATAGTAGTCTGGGCTAGTATTTGTGGTCTATTAGTGTTTGTAGAATATCTATCTAGGACCTTCTGGCTTTCAGAGTTTCCATGGAGAAGTCAGGTGTGATTCTGATAAGTTTGCCTTTATATGTTACTTGGCCTTTTTCCTTTGATGCTCTTAATTTTCTTTATTCTGTATGCTTGGTGTTTTAATTACTATGTGCCGAGGGGGACTTTTTTTTGTTGTGGTCCACTCTATTTGGTGTTCTGTAGGCTTCTTGTACCCTCATTGGTATGTCTTTCTTTATGTTGGAAACGTTTTCTTCAATGATTTTGTTGAATATGTTTTCTGTACCTTTGAGTTGGGTTTCTTTACCTTCTTCTATACCTATTATTCTTAGGTTTGGCCTTTTCACAGTGTCCCATATTTCCTGGGTATTTTATGTTAGGGATTTGTTGGATTTAAGATTTTCTTTGGTCAATGAATCTATTTCTCCTAGTGTATCTTCAACACCTGAGATTCTCTCTTCCAACTCTTGTATTCTGTTGGTTATGCTTGCATCTGTAGTTCCTGATCATTTACCCACCTTTTATAATTCCAGCATTCCTTCAGCTTTCAAACCTTGTACCGTTTGAATTGTTTCTTTCAATTTTTGGTTTGTCTTTTATTCCATTTCTTTAAAGGATTTTCTCATTTCCTCTTTTAGGGTCTTTATCATCTTCATGAAATTGTTTTTAAGGCTATTCTCTTCTGCTTCATCTGTGTTGGGATGTTCAGGTCATGCTGGTGTAGACTCTGGTGGCATCACATTGGTTTTTCTGTTGTTGAATGTGTTCTTGTCTTGTCGTCTTCCCATCTTTTGTTCTGGTGTGTCCAGGTGGGGTCTCTTACTCTCCTGGTGGGTATGGGTCCAGGGTTTTCTTCCGGTGGGTGCAAGCAGGTTCAATAGTCTGATGGGTCTCTAGGTGGGTGCAGGTGGGTCTGATGCACTCCCTCTCCTGGTGGGTGGGGGCTGGATTAGCACAGTGCCCTCAGTAGACTCGAGGTTGCTTGGAGAGCTGGAAGTGAGTTGACCTGCCTGCAGTCCCCAGGCCAGGAGATCCCAGAGTGGGCAAGCAGAAGTCAGGCCTGAGGTGGGGGCCAGAGCTCACCTCTGCCCTGAGTCAATACTATTGTTTCTTAGAAACATATACTGAATACCTTCCTTATTCTCTTCATCCCTAGAGGCAGTACTGCATAGAGCATCATACCAACTGTCTGTCCTGTGCCTGTGGCAGCGTGGCCTCTTTGCTGTCCTTGCCTTTCCCGGGCACACTCCTCCTACTGCCCTGTGAACCTGATATGGCATCCTGGCAGATCTGCCCTGTGGCTCAGGATTGCCTATCTGGGAATGTGACTTCTGCCCATAAACCTGGTGATTCCAGTTCCTCTGAGATCTCAGCCTTGAAACCCTTTCTTTGGGACCATCTTGAAACCAGGTTTGCAAGGTCTCCAGAGTGAACTGCAGAGGCTCAGGACTTCAGCAGTGAGCTGGGCAATCACTTAGGCTGGACCAAAGCTTGCTAACTTAATTGTGTGTGTCAGGCTTTGAGCATTTGTAAACACCGACTCCCTCAATGCTCCAATGGACGACAGTGGACGACAATTGTGAGGATGCTTTTAAAAAGCAAGCTAACCGAGCCGGGCGGTGGTGGCGCACGCCTTTAATCCCAGCACTCGGGGGGCAGAGGCAGGCGGATCTCTGTGAGTTCGAGGCCGGGCTGGACCGACAGCCTCCAAAACAATACAGAGAAACCCTGTCTCGTAAAAACAAAAAAACAAAACAAAACAAAACAAAAAAAAAACAAAAAGCAAGCTAACCAATCCATCAAGAATTCCCCTCACATCAGCTCCTTCCATCAACGCTAATGAGGCCACTGTCCACCTGCAGGCAGCCCAGCACTGACAGGCATTCTTCAAACTGGCCATTCCCAAGCCTGCACACCTGCCCGGTGAGCACCCCTTTCTGGAAACAATAATGAAGGCTCTTGCTCACAAGTCCCCTTTCCTTCTGCCCCCACGGGATTCTGATTATATGCACCAAACGTGTGTCCCTCAGAAATTAAAGTTGTTGGCTTTGGTCCCAGGGAAGTGCAGTAGGGAGGTAAGGACTCTGAGGATAATTAGGCTGAGAGGAGTTGGGTGATCTTGATGACCTTGGTGACCTTGAAGGAGACCAGATTCAGAAAAAAAGGCACATGTAAGCCAGAAGGGACCTTGAACTTGCCAGCTTTTACAACGATGTGAAGTCAGTTTCTGTTGTTTACGTCACCCAGTCCATAGTAGTACTACAGCAGCCCATATGAAGGTCCTTCCTCTTGGGAACTTTGAGTAATAACAGTGTTTTCAATGGCAGTTGACTCTTGATCTGTTTTCCTTTTTTGATTTATGCACTACAGTACACAAACACAACATATAATATATATTTGTGTACTTGGAATTGGACCCTGGGACTTCACACATGCTAAGCAAGAGCTCTACCACTGTCTACACCCTTCCCTACTCCTTATTTAATTTTTTAAACCAGGCTCTTACTAGGTTGCCCTGGTTGGTTTTGAAATTCAGTGCTCCTGCCTTAGCCTCCCAAGTAGCTGGGTTTGCGGGCCTATCCCACAAAGCCTGCCTATACTCTACGTTAAAGCAGTTGTTCATAAGTCCAACCTAGGCAGTCAGGGTGTCCTTTGGAAGTAAGGCCATCCCATCCCATTGAACCCAGCATTGCTGATGGGTGTGTGGCAGCCACGATGCTCAAAAGACTCTTGTGGTTACCATGTGTGGTGGTTTGAAAGAAAATGACCCCCCAAAGGGAGTGGCACTATAAGGAGGTGTGGCCTTCTTGGAGGAAATGTGGGGATGGGCTTTGATGTCTCCTATGCTCAAGCTACACCCAGTGTCACAGTTCACTTCCTGTTGCCTGCAGATCAAGATGTAAGACTTGCAGCTCCTTCTCCAGCACCCTGACTACCTTCTCGCCACCATGTTCCACTATGATGATAATGGACGAAACCTCTGAAACTGTAAGCACCCAATAAGTGTTTTCCTTTATAAAGAAGCCAACTAAGACACATGGCTTCTCTGGCTGTGAGAGTAATTTCATCACCCATACTATCTGAGAGGGGTTTTAGGTCATGACCCTAATGATGGCTTTTTAATCTCAGCCATTAAGGTCCATCTGCCGTCCAGGGGACGCTGGGCTGAGCGCACACTCGCCCCTCACTTACGTCAATCAGATGCTTGACTTCATGCTTTTTGAGGTCACTTCCGACCTTGGCTGCTAACAGCACACATGCTCCGGCACAGAGCTTCCGGTTCTGCTTGTTCAGTTTCCCCTTGAGGGCGAGCTTCTCAAAGTAGACAAAGGCCATGGCCACCGTGGGCTCCTCAAAGCCACAGTCCTCCTGGGCAAGCTTCCGCATCTCTCTCTTCAGACTAGAGGAAGACAGGAAACAGGGAGTCCTGAGAGAGCTCAGGGGACCCACAAGAAGACTATGACACCATCTGGAAAGCATGTTCTCTATTTCCCTCCCACAGGGACAAGTAGGCCGAGATTAATCCACATTAGATGCAGACCATGTAGCTGGGGCTCTGGCCCCTCTGTGGGTCTAGTGACACAGACACAGCCCAGCCCAAATCACCACTTCCAAGGATTACAGGCAACCATGGCTCCACTGAACACAGTGCGTATCTGAGTCCCCAGGAAAATAGGGTGGGGCTCTTTGACGTGAAGAAAGGGACCCACGCTTATTTTAGAGATATTTCAGGTGTCTAAGTTCTGCAGGTTACTGATTAGCCTCTACGTGGCGTAGAAGTGTTTGGCTAAAAGCAAAACCACTAGGGTGCTTGGGAAAGCTGCCTAGCTAACAGACAAAGCATGGATGCTTAATTTTCCTTTACTCTTTGGTTTTGGAGTATGGCAGAATCAAGTCTGCATTGGGATACACACTAGGGTAAACACTGCACACACTCCAGTGGTGGTGAGCACACTCGGAGGCATGGTGTGGACACCACAATACCAGTCAGCACCTCTAGCTTGGCAGGATGAGTGGCTAGCATCTGTGGGTCACCACAAACCCACCCAATCGTCTGTATGGGAAGTCTGGGCGTGTCTCTCTGTTTTGGCTATTTTGGTGGCTGTGGTTGTTCAAAGATAGGGCCTTGAAGTCATGTCTAGGTTAGGGGAGTTATCTCATGCCCCAAGGTGCCAATTCTACACACTTCAGTTTTGCCTGTATCCCAGAAAGTCGAGACCTGCCTGCTGCCCACGAGGGTTTGAGTGTGATTTTAGACATGACTCACGTATCCTAGGCTGGTTTCACATTGCTGTCTCCCGAGTGCTGGGATCACAGATGATCACGCCTGGGCTGTGTAGTGAGGGAGGGAGCTTGAGCCCAAGGCTCTGTGCAGGAAAGCCCAGCACTCTACTGACTGAGCCCCATGCCAGCTCCAGCCTCTCTGCCCTTTACACAACCTGTTTTACTGAGCTGGCAAGCTGCAGGCAGACATGAGACAGTTTCTCTCACTGAATGAATGTCTCTAAGAGCTGTGTCAACTAGGGATTCAGGAGCTTGGCCTGATGCCTTGGGCTCTCCCAGGACATCCAGGCACGAGTCAGGCAGCAGCAGAAGCGTCTAGTGAACATGCCTGTATTTCTTTTCCTGACAAACAAGGAGACCCATAATATGATGTGAATGTACTGGAGGGGGCCTGGCAGGAGAGTTCAGGGTGATGCACGGCTCTCATACCTCCTGATTTTGCTGAGTGTTAACTTGATGTGAGGAAACTTTTCCTTGAAGGTTTCGTTCATGTCCTTCTTGAGATCCGAGGGCTTCACGTAGTCAATCACCGTGGTCTGTAGTAGAAGAGGCAAGAAATGTCACTGCAGCCATGGGTCAGATGTACTAACGATGCTCAAGTTAACAGCCAGTAGACCATCAGGGGAGGCCTGTGTTTCCGCCTGCTGTCCACACAGGGCCAGGATTCAAAGGCTTCACCCTCAGCCCCTCACTGGCTTGGCTTTGAGAGACTCAGTCACCCAGTCCTACTTCCCACGGTTATTTTGAGAGCCATGAGACGTGGTCTGTACAATTCCTTGCACATCATAGATGCTCAACACATTCTATGTTTAAATGTTGTTTGAAATGACAGTTACTGGAGATCCACCATGGAGGGCCTCACCCTCCTTGGTGATTGGAGTGGAGATTGGGTGGGGGACTGGGGGACCTGGTGGGGAGGAGGAGAGGGAGAGGGAGCTGGGATTGACATGTGAAACAAGATTGTTTCTAACCTAATTTTTAAAAAAAGTGACAAAATATGCATAAAATTCACCATTTTAAGGCGCCATTTAGTGGCATTAAGGACATCCACATGGTTATGCAACCATTACCAGTACTCTGTAGGACATCTCTCTGCTTATTTTCTTGAGCCCTGGCAAGCACCATTTTTGTTTGCTTTTGAGACATGACTCTAGGTAGTCAAGACTGGCCTTGAGCTCTGCATTCTTCTTGCTGGAATTACATATGTGAGTACCATGCCCAGATACCTTTTAAAACATTCATTTATGTGTGTACACATGAACATGATTGTATTTGCCGTGTTGTGTGTGTATGTGGGTGGGTGGTGGTGGTCAGAAGATTACTAATGGGAGTTGGTTCTCTCTTCCTAGCATGTAAGTTCAGGAAATCAAACCCTGGTTACCAGGCTTGGTGACAAGCATCCTTACCTACTTAGCCATATCACCAGCCCCTGGCTAACTTTTGTCTCATGTAAGTAGAATAATGTATTTGCTTTTCCATCACAGGTTTCTTTCAGTGTTAATGCTGGCATTGTAGCTAGTGTATGAATTCCCTTTCAGAGGCAGAGTGACATTCTGCTACATGTATGGAATGGGGACATTTTTAACAGTTCCTTGCTTAAATTCTACCTATCCCCAAGAAAGGTTCCTTTGAACCCCTGGGAATGTTCTGGGTTCCCTTGCTCTGCATACACCCCTGAATTTGTATTTTGCTGGGTCACACGAGTTAGTCTCAGCTTATCTCAAAAGTGTATCTGCCAAGGCCAGCACTCTTTAGGCTGACAACAGATGTCACTTCAGCAGGCAGGTCACTGCCTTCCATAGGAAGTGATGTGGAGGCCACCCAGCCCCAGGGATGACCCACTACCAGAAAAATCCACCCAACAGTTCTTAGTGACCCTGACTATAGTTGCTAGGCTTCTCTGAACACTTGGTTTGATGTGACACCTAATGAATTTAGATTTTGGTGGTGCTGAGAACTGAACCCAGGGCTTTGGATATGCCCTGGCAAGGGCTAATACCCCTGAGCTGCACCTCAGCTTGACAAGACTTGGAATAGGCACATGAACTGCATTTGGTGGCAGCTAAAAGCCCGGTGAAGAGTGACCTCAATGGCAGTTCCGTGTCTGGAGAATAAACACTGACTGTAGCAACACTAACTCAATTCTGCTAACCAGCTCACGTTTGTGACATTTGGGGAGATGAGGAATCAGATGTGTTACACCGAGCCAGGGCACCCCATTCAAATGAGCCTTTGAATTTTCCAACCAGTCTGTCCAAACATTTGAGGCAATGAGAGGCCCAGATCCTTTCTTGCAGTAACCACTACAGCTGACTGGATGTGGGATATACGAAAGGACACCTAACCCTTCTCTTGAGGTTTCTGAATGCACCCCATCTCACAAGGCCCAGTGTGGTGGAGAAGCTTGTTCCAGCCTCGACAAGCTGCAGGCTCCCCATACACACTGCCTTCCAGGAAGTTCTCCTCTAATCAGACAGTGAGCAGCTGACAGCAGCTGCCGTCTCATGAAGCTGTCACAAAGGGGTGTGGATGTAGACAGGGCCGAAGAAGTGGTCACCTTAGCACACCAAAGTCACTCAACCTCTGGTCTAGGAGCCCAGATATCTCTACCATGACTTATATGTCTGAAGCCCAGGGACTTGCATATCAGATTATCCTTGCCAATTAACATTCCTTCTCAATTGACTCAGTGATGCTGCATCTTGCGACTCATCCAGCTAAGTTCCCTAGAGCACAGGTTGCTTTCCCTATGACTAGTCTTCCCTAAACATTCTGCTTCACTCTGGGAAGTTTTACTCCATTGTAAAGGCTAGGAAACTAACAGTTATGTTCCCGACTCCCTTGCAGCTAGGATGACAAATACATTTCTGACTGGAAAAGAGGTGGCACTTCTGTTATTTCTGCTATCAAGAGTGATTGAGAAGTTCTGGTTCACTGGCTTTAGATGTCTACTGTGGAGGGTACCTTTTGGTAGTGGTAGCTAGCCCTGGTTGCTGGTCAGAAACTAGAGTCCTGATCCCACAGGTTAAGGCTCCCTAGGTGGCTTGGAGATCATTCTTATTCTGTTAGTATTCCTAAATATTCTTTGGTTAGAACTTACCATGTAATAAACTTTCCCTCTTTGGAAGTGTGTGTGCGTGTGTGTGTGTGTGTGTGTGTGTGTGTGTGTGTGTGTGTGTGTTTACAAACACATAAGGAGGACAGAGGACGACCTCAAGTAGTGTCATCCTTGGGAACACTGTCTACCTCTTTGAGACAGGTCCTTCACTGACGTGGAGGTTACAAATTTGGCTAGGCTAATCAGCCAGGGAGCTTTGAGGAATCCTTCCTGTCTCTCCACCTCCTCAGAGCTGAAGCTACAAGAGTGCTGCCATGCCCACGTCTTTTTCACATGAGTCTTGAGGACTGAACTCAGGTCTTCCGGCTTGCAAGGCAAGCACTTTCCCAACAAAACCATAGCCCCACCTGGTGTGGATGCTGAACTTTGCAGTGAACTGTAACAGTTTACACATGGTCCAATCCTTGCTCTTAGGGTAAGGAGCTTGGGTGTCCTTTCCGGGCAGTGGAGTGAGCAACTGAGTGTTGATGTGACACCCCCAGCCCAGTCCTTGGTAGATTTTCCAACTACCTGGCTGACATAGCTCTCGAGTTCATAGGATGCCACCTGCATGCACAAGTGACCTCTGTATCACCTCCAACCTACTATGTGCTTGTTTCCAGTCCCATGTCCTCATGGTTGTTCCAAGCACTGAACATAAGGCTCGGCCCCAATCTGTCATTTGACTTGATCATTTTTTGGGCTTTACCTGTCCTCCAAGTCTCACTATGTAGCCAAGATGGCCTTAAACTCACAGTCATCTTGCTTTAGTCTGGAGTGCTGAGATTATAGGCATGTACCACCATGCTGCCCACCTTGCGTCTTTCCTAAGTTAGATAATGCATTTTGAGGTGCACTCTGTAAACATTACCTTTCTGTCAAAGCCCAGTAACAGCCACTGGATAGACAAGAAAGCCCTACTCCATCTTCACAGCCCCAGCATTGGACTGACAAGTGGTTGGTAGTCCTCCAGGACAAGAGACAGAGGAGCCCAAATAGAGATGCTCCTCACAGGAAGTATGAGACGGGCACACAGCCAGGTGGGACCAGTGGACCATGATCTACCGGGAGGCTGCTTTACTCTAAAGGTATCAGAGTACCTGAGACAACTGTAGGCTTGTGACAGCCAAGTCACCGAGGCAAGTGCCCACTAACAGTCACTCTGGTCTGTCTGCCTCACTCTATTTTAAGGTGAGGGGTCAGTAAAATGCCTCTGTGACACAATGGGGAAAAAGATGGTGGTAAGCTGTGCTCTGAGAGTCTGCCTGAGAACAGGAAGTGGCCACTTTGGTTTCCTGGCCTGCCGTAACAAGCTCCCATCATCTGGGTAGGTTTGACAACTGCAGGCTGCCCTAGAGACCTAGCTGGAAGCCTACAATCTGGGCAGGTGGATTCATAACACTTCGTTACTCTGTCCCCAGAACCTGCCTTGCCTCGCCTACGCTTCTGACACCCAGGACTGATGGATGCACCACCCCTGTATCTTCTGTCCCTTTCTGTGGACACAGTCATGTTGGATCAGGGCCCCACGTTACCCCCCACTCACCTCACTTTACCTCATTTACGTCTGCAGAGAGCTGCTGCAGACAAAACAATATCCTAAGGTCACAGGAGGTCACAGCATCTCTCAGGGGGATCTAGTCCTGGCCACAGTTGTGGCTTCTACCTCACGGAGCCCTACCTGCTCTCCAGGCTGACTGCCTGGCTCCCCTGCCCCAGGGCCCACTCAGCCTCCCAAGAGTCAGCCTTACCCTTGGTCGGCGGGAGGACGTCACAGGCACTGGGCTCTGCTTTTACACATAGCTCTGCCACACAGCATCCAGGTAGCATGAGCACACGGCTGAAGTCCTTAAGTCTCAAATCCCTCCTCTGGCATCTCTACTAGATGCCTGCTTTGTGCTAACGGCCCCTGCTCTGGAGGGCTGCTCACTCGCCTGCCTGGGGTAAATCAGGCTGAGTGGGCAGCCCCCAGCATGGCAGTCTGACTCCAAACCTTGTAGGATGCAGAAGGGCCACCCTCTACCCCAGCAGGTGTCAGAGAGATGAGGTTGGCACCATGTTCTGTGGAAAACAGAGTACGTCAGGCTCTGACAACTTGATATCCTCTCTTGAGGGAGCTGCACAATGATCCTTAGGGGCTGGCCCTCCTAGACACCCAAGAGACCACAGTTCTCTCAGTGATGACAGTGTGTCAAAGAGGCAGTACTAGGGACTCAGCAGCAGGCACAGGGTTTTCAGCCCCTGCTGGAAGATAAACTAAACACAAAGCTAATGCTTGAAGCTTACCTACCTACCAGTCTGATAAACCAGTTACAAACCCTTGCGATGCTGGATTTGGCCAGCTGTGTTACTATAAATCAAAGCGCTAATTAAACGGGGTGTGGCTCCTTCCTAGCATCCCTGCCTAATTCCAGGCGGCAGGACTGGCCCCAGTAAAGG